GGCCATGGGCACAATGGATGGTATCCTTGATACAGTATTCGCAGATCATTCTCTCTTGCCGTTGCTTGGTCTGTTGAAGTCTCATGGAAAGCTCATCATGCTTGCCGCATCGAACAAGCCCCTGGATCTGCCTGCCTTTCCTCTGCTTATGGGTAAATATTTGACACTATTAATTTGTTACATGAATTCAAAGTGGATTATAAACCGACATTGCCCGGTGGAAATCATTTCTAAATTTGAATGTGGAATGACAGGAAGGAAGTTGGTGGGTGGAAGTACCATTGGAGGGTTGAAGGAGACACAAGAAATGATTGATTTTGCAGCTAAACACAACATAACAGCAGATATTGAGGTCATTTCGATGGACTATGTGAACACTGCAATGGAACGTCTAGAAAAAGTTGATGTCAAATACCGGTTTGTCATTGACGTTGCCAACACTTTGAAAGCTGCCTAGTTTGCCAATGTAGCTCCTAGACGTTGTCTTCTTTTGATACTATCATTAATATGTAGTTTGCCAATGTAGCTCTTGAACGCTGGCTTCTCTTTTGATACTGTCATTAATATGTAGTTTGCCAATGTAGCTCCAAAACATTGACTTCTTTTGATACTGCCATTAATACTGTCAAAGAGAAATTAAGGTACTTGTATTATCTATCTTCTATCGCTGGTGTCACAGCATGTGACATCTCAGTTTGAATACATAAATACAAGTTTTGATGGTAAAAGTTTATAACCTTGGAAATGACGAATTAGTATAGTGAGAGGGTAATTTGTGAACAAATTGGGCCGAGCTAGGAAAAGTCTTCTTTGGAAGTTAAGCAACGCAATGGCCCGAGATAAGAGCTGATGTAGCTCGGTCTTGGGCTAAGAAGACACTAGGTCGGTCAGAGATGGGTTGTAAGGGCTTGGACCTAGCTATCTGAAGGTAGTCTTTTATCGGACCAAGATGTTGTCAATGGAGAGCGCCGAGCTATGTGTAGCTCGGCAGGGTGCAATTCGGTAAATTGGCGTACGGTCACATGGGCCGAACGACAAGGGACCGAGATAAGGCAGCTCGGTCAAGAATGTATATCCGAGCATAAGGGAGTGGCCATCTCACTAGGCTTGCAATGATGAGGGTGTTCTAAGGATAAACATTATCCTTGGGCATGAGTCTCCTAGGAGGACTCTGCTAAGGAGAGTTAGAGTCCTATTGGAATTGTGCAAACCATCTCACTTGGTTGGTAGTGAGTAGAGTGTTATCAGGATAGACACTCTTCACTGGGAGTGTGATTCCTAGAAGGACTCTTATAAGGAGAGTTGGAATCCTACTAGGATTGTGTGAGGCAAAATCTATAAAAGCTCATAGCAGGACCTTTGTACAGGTATCACAATTCTTACTCTAGAATACACAGAGCTTATTGTCTATTGTCTAGTTGTTGACTTAGGCATCAGAGGGGTTTCCGGCACACACTTGCCGGTTAGCTCACGTTTGTGTTTTCAGGTAGCAAACCAACATTGTTTGAAGGAGTGCAAACTTGATCAACAGGATTATACGAGAAGATTATTTCTATGCTCATACAATTGGCATCGTCTGTAGGAAAAACAATTACAAAGAACAAACCTCTTGATAAAGTTTTTTTTCAACTGATTTCAATGGCTCACAATGAAGATTTGCCGCAATCTACTATTGATGGGCAAACCCCAGAGAGGGGTGGGAGACCCAAAGGCTTACTTTTTATCCCACCCATGGCAGAGTTAGATTCCTAGTGACGGAACCCCCGGAGGGATACACGGGAAAGATGGGGCTCCAGTCCTCGTCGCTCCTAAAGTCCTGAAAGGTAGAGCCAGAGGTTGGATCCTCAGGTTCTAGAGGATCGCATGAGGGAGCAAGACGAATTGATTCGGAGGATGGCGGCAAATATGGAGACAACGAAGCGCCAGATAAAGGAAAAAATGGGCGGCAGAAGAAGAGGTAGGCAAGAGCAGAATGCCCCCCCGCCACTCAGAAGATCGTGATAGGCAAGTAATATCATCTCAGACGGAAAGTAGAAGCCTAAGGATAGGTGGTACACAATCACGAATCTCTAGGACTCGTTACTCAAGGTCTGAGAGAACGAGGACTAAGAGGTCGTATACTGAGGGAAGCAGTTATCGGCCCTCGCACACGCACCAAACGACATCTAGGCACACGAAGTTTCCTAGGTCGGTAGACCTGTGTACAGTGCTAGAGGAGAGGGCCCGATGAAAGGAGGACACCCAGGTTCACGACCCTCGTAGAGTTTTAGCTCTACAACGATTGGCTCCTAGGACACATGGAAGTGTCGAGGTGGGGATGCCAATACCATGCCTTGATTACGAACCAGCAGATAAAGTGTTGGCAAGGATGTAGAGCTCACCGTTCGTTCCGGCAATTGAGAATGCACCGTTATCCTCAGGCTTCCACCAGCCCAAATTCACTGCTTATGAGGGGAAGTCAGACCCTTACATGCACTTGAGCTACTTTTGCCAGGTTATGGCCGTGTATTGGCGAAACGAGGCTTTAATGTGTATCCTGTTTCCTTCCAGCTTTAGTGACCTGGGTTTAACATGGTTTGAAAGGTTGTCAAAAGGTAGCATAGCTTCATGGGCGCAACTAGTGGAGACATTTGTGACCAGATTTAGAACAAACACCAAGACACCAGTGGAGATTGACCAGCTTCTCTCCATAGACATGGGCAAGAAGGAAACATTGAGGTCTTACAATAACCAGTATTTGGAGACTTTTAATCAGATTGGAGATTGCCCCACAAACTTAGCTATCGCACAGTACAAACGAGGTTTGATGGCTGGCAATAAATTGAGGGATTCAATAACAATGACACCGCCTCTTACTATGGAAGCCCTGATGGAGAGAGTGCACCAACACATCTTGGTAGAGGAGGATGGAATACACACCAAGGCAGAGTCTGACACAATAGCGAGGTCGGACGAAACACCTTCGGCAAAAGTTAACACAGTAGACAAGAAGGACCAACCACGCAAAAAATCTTTGCCTAACTGGGGGCAAAGTGGGTTGGTAGGTTTGACCAACTCTTTCTAACAAATCTTTGCCCGACTAGGGGGCAATAAAGAAGGTTGGCATGTTTGACCAACACTTTTTTCTTCCTCTAGCCGAGATAAGGATCTAGGCTCAAGAAGGTTGGCAAGTTTGTTTATTCGATGTTACATGTAATGCTTTATTTAGGAATACTCTGATGAATGAATTAATAAATTGTCTTCTTTAAATAATGCATGTCAATGATATATAATGGGTTAATTTTGAGGGCGTTACAGGGTTGGTAGGTTTGACCAACTCTTTCTAACAAATCTTTGCCCGACTGGGGGGCAATAAAGAAGGATGGCATGTTTGACCAGCACTTTTTTCTTCCTCTAGCCGAGATAAGGATCTAGGCTCAAGAAGGTTGGCAGGTTTGACCAACACTTTTTTCCTCTAGCCGAGATAAGGATCTAGGCTCAGGGACGTTGACAGGTTTGACCAATACTTTTTTCTTCCTCTAGCCGAGATAAGGATCTAGGCTCAAGGAGGTTGGCAGGTTTGACCAACACTTTTTTCTTCCTCTAGTCAAGATAAGGATCTAGGCTCAGGAAGGTTGGCAGGTTTGACCAACAGCTTTCATTCTTTCTCTAACTGAGATAAGGATCTAGGCTCAAGAAGGTTGACAGGTTTGACCAACACTTTTCATTCTTCAGCCCAGATGAGGATATAGGCTCAAGAAGGTCGACAGGATTGACCAACACTTTTTCATTCTTCAGCCGAGATGAGGATCTAGGCTCAAGAAGGTTGGCAAGATTGACCAACACTTTGCAATCTATAGCCGGGATAAGTATCTCGGCCAAACAAGAAAAGGCGGGCAGGAAATGGTACACTACAATAAAGGAAAAGCGCCGTGACCAAGCAAGAAGTACAAAAAAAAAAAAAAAATTTCATTGATTAAAAGGTAATTACAAGAGGTGGGCCATATAGCTCGGTTACACAGAAAGAACGCTTTCTTGTGTGATTGCGAACTCGAAGGATATAAATGTTAAAGGAAAAAGGCAGGGATGTTCAAATTTTTTGGGGTACATGACGGTTGTAATAGGAGAACGAGGATAATGGGGGCACGCCACGTATCCTAGGAATGACGTCGTTGAGTACCAGACAAGACTTATTAGGGCCGAATGAGTTGTGAAACCGAACAACTTTTCTAGCTCGCTAGAGTTGGGCTTTCTTAGCTCGGCTGGAAGAAAATAATCCCAAACATGCTACGCAGATGTAATTAAGGGGCAATTGAGAGGGTAACATATTGGGTCAAGCTAGGAAAAGTCTTCTTTGGAAGTTAAGCCGCGCAATGGGACAAGATAAGAGTTGATGTAGCTCGGTCTTGGTCTAAGAAGACATTTGGTCAACCAGAGATGGGTTGCTAGGGCCTGGACCTAGCCATCTGAAGGTAGTCTTTTATCGGACCAAGATGTTGTCAATGGAGAGGGCTGAGCTATGTGTAGCTCGGCAGGGTGCAATTTGGTAAATCGGCTTACGGTCACACGGGCCGAATGACAGGGGACCGAGATAAGGCAGCTCAGTCAAGAATGTATATCCAAGCATAAGGGAGTGGCCATTTCACTTGGCTTGCAGTGATGAGGGTGCTCTAACGATAAGCATTATCATTGGGAATGAGACTCCTAGGAGGACTCTGCTAAGGAGAGTTAGAGTCCTACTGGGATTGTGCAAACCATCTCACTTGGTTGGTAGTGAGTAAAGTGTTATCAGGATAGACACTCTTTACTGGGAGTGTGATTCCTAGAAGGACTCTTATAAGGAGAGTTGGAATCCTACTAGGATTGTGTTAGGTAAAATCTATAAAAGCTCATAGCAGGACCTATGTACAGGTATCACAATTCTTTCTCTAGAATACACAGAGCTTATTGTCTATTGTCTAGTTGTTGACTTAGGCATCGGAGGGGTTTTCGGCACACACCCGCCGGTTAGCTCACGTTTGTATTTTCAGGTGGCAAACCAACATTGTTTGGAGGAGTGCAAACTTGATCAACAGGATTATACGAGAAGATTATTTCTATGCTCGTACACATGGTATCTTATTCATGGTTTGATGATGGGATTCATTTTAGTAACTTTTATAAGTTTATCAAAATTATAAGATTGGCTTTTTCTTTTTTCAAAATTTTCTTATAAAATTCTCATCCTAATCACATGCAATCCAATCCAAAAATAAAAATAAAAATAAAATACATGCCATATGTAATATATATACATATATATTTTTCCTTTTTCCTTCTATCTTCTTTGACAAACTTGTGCTCAGATGTTGAAAAGTATTTACCATCCACACTAAGAATTTTTGTTTGGAAATAGGGGCAGAAGTCCTTCTTGGGCATGGGCAAGAAGGCTTCATTGGCAGGTAGGCAACGATAAGTCCATCCGTTTTTGGGATGATAAGTGGGTGCTTCAGTCGCATAATTTAATAGTTCAAAATCCAAAGCCAAGGGGTTACCAAGCTTAGTGGGTGAGTGATGTGATAAATCCAAACATACAAGAATGGGACCATGGTAAATTACAAGAGCTGGTTGGGCGTGAGAAAGCTAGCGCTGTTATGACTATCCCAATCTCATTAGTTGACCAAGAGGACTCTCTTATTTGGCATCACACCAAAAATGGAAAATTCGAAGTTAGAAGTGGGTATTAGATAGCAATGAGGGATTATCAGTTAAGGACCTCAAATGGGG